AGCAGGGTGAGCAGCTGGCCACTGCTCCTCAGTGGGATCCAGCTGAGCCAAATGGTCCCGTTCCCAGCTTTGGGGGTCTGGGAACGTGGCTCAGGCTACATCTGAGACCTTGGGAACAACCTCTGTCGGAAAGGGACGGGAATCAGTGAGTCCCACACTGCAGCTGCCAGCCAGCAACACCCTGCTTTTAGCTACTCACTAACCTGTGTGCCAGGAATTATCACTGAACATTGTCAACTCTGTCTTTATGTCCTTGATTCCATCTGGAGTCAAACAGATTAAAGGTCCATAACCATCTCATTAGGAATCACACCTAGGCTGCACATAGCCGGGTTTTCCAGACTACAGGCTGAATTCCCTTAGAGGAGCAGAGCTTCAGCTGCTGAAGATGCTCTGCCTGGAAAAGGCATGGCTGAGGAGGGCTGGAGGAGCAGGCTGGAAGGCCACAAGTGCTCTGCAGAGAGTGAACAGGATGCAGTGGAAGCCAGAAGCAGAAATGATTTCGGCAAAGAGAATCCATGGGGGACAGGTCAACCGGAGGGTTTTGGATGCATTCCTTGCACAGGAAGACTCCAGTCTCTAACCTGCTGGCTTTGGGAAAAACGCCCTGAAGGAAATTTCACCCCATACTCTCTGTGGGGAACAAGATCTGGGCTGAATGACCCAGTGTAGTTCTTTTCCATTTTGGGGTTGTATCCTTCAAGCCACAAAACGATTTTGTGAGAAAGTTTCGCACAACTTAAAACCAAGTATCAGCTCTCTGGAGTTTAGCCATCCTACAGAACATAATGAAACACTATAACCAGTTATAGAATTCCCTGAGATAGTAAAAAGAAAATATCAACTGGAAAGATTGTCTAATTCTAGACTGGTTTCTCTGTACATCCTGATCTAATTCCTGCAAAGCCCCTTTTCATCTCCTGCATATTCTGCAAAAATTTTTATGTAGGATTATTTTTTTTAAAAGGTCTGAGATCCCAGATTCCTGCAGGTTACCTAGAGAGGCCTAAAAATAGTAATAAATTTGAAAATTGGACAAAAGGGGATTTAACACGCCAAGGACATGGCCTGGAGCTGGCGCTGAAGCCGGCACAGCTTCCAAGTGAGTCAGGCGGGAAGTTTGTTCCTTTCCCCCACTCAGCTCCACAAGGAATATGGAATAAAGAAATGGCAAGACAGGCTTGGAAGGGGCACAAAACCACATCTCAAGGTTTTCATCCCTTAATTCATAGAATCACAGAAGGCTTGGGTTGGGAGGGACCTTAAATCCCATCTTGCTCCATCCCTTGCCATGGGCAGGGACACCTTCCACCATCCCAGGCTTCTCCAAGACCCAAATGTCCAGCCTGGCCTTGGGCTCTGTCAGGACTCCAGGGGCAGCCACAGCTGCTCTGGCAAATTCCCACCTTGAAATGTCAATTAGGGCTCATAAGAGCAGGCGAGCATGGGGTACATTTGTCCCTGAACATCCACCAGGAGGAGAAGGAGGAGAAGGAGGAGGAGGGAGTCTCCTGCAGGCAGATGTTTAGTTGCCACAGGACACAACCGGGCAGCTAAACAAAATCTGGATCCCACAAAACAGGCTGCAGGATCCTGGGGATCACACAACCCACAGCCAGAACAAGCTGTATCCAACCTGTGCTTTCTCTCTTCCAGGAAAAATGGGTGCAAATGTCAACCAATGAAGCCCTTTCCACCTACACCACATCAGCTCCAAAAGCCAAACATGATCCCAGCAGAGCTCTCCGGGAAGTCTCGCTCAGCAGAGCTGAACCCTTAATGGCACAATGCTGGGAAAAGCAGAACTGCTGCGTGGGTGCCCCAGAGGCACCCTGTGAGCACTAATCACTTGTGCATATTGAACAGAACTGTCTCTCCATGGGGAAAAAGCTCCCTTCAATTAGTGGAAAGTGACTCCCACCGTTCAATTTAGGGTTTAAATTTGGACAGGGTGAGCTTTTCTTCCCTGTTTTTGGTGTGTTGGTGTTTTTCCCTTTAATGTAAACTATATCCTTGCAAAGAACCCGTGGATAAGGCATTGGAACAAAACATGTGCAGCCATGATTCTGGCACCGTGTTTCTAGGATACATTTTTCCAGGAGCACTGGTCAGCAGAGCCCAGAAAGCACAGCTAGTGACAACCTGCAGAAAATTTAACTTAGAGAAACCATGATGGTGTTCATGAACACAGCTGAGCATGCAGTGGAATGGTGGCTGGATTCAGGAACTAAACACCAGGGCACGAGGCCATTGCTGTGGGCTCAGAGCCACCCTTCTGGCAGTGACCCCCTTAGGAACTAAACTAGTCAAAAGTCACCCACCAGTGATCATCAGGCCCTTCCAGGGCAGCTAAGACTAAAGAAACAGATGCATACCCCAGCTACAGCTTTCCAAAAAGTGGGCTAAAACCCCAAACCACAGGCAAACACAACTCCAGAGTCTTGTGAGGACTGACAACAAGGATCTGGGCAGAAACTTCACTCCTGGCTAGGAGAATCCATTAGGTGACTCCACGGAGCAGTGACACCTCACTGGCCCCAAGGCCAAGAGGGAAAACAGTGTCCAATACCCCATTACACTCGGCCCTGGGTCACCCTTGTGTGTCCCCTCAGGGCCCTAAGATGTGACAACTGTTTTGTGGGATTGGGATGGGGGAAGCAGTTTAAAAGGCTGGTCAAAACACGAATTTATATCAGGAAGTGTTTTCCAGCACGAGAACACACATGACAGGCTCCAGGGCAAGGGGATCATCAAGAGTATAAAGATAAAAGTGCTGAAAGGCAGGGAGGGCAGAGGGAAACAAAACTGCCCAAAAGGTGCCCAAGTGCCAGCTGGCACAGGCCAGCAGAGTGCCAAGGAGCACAGTAAGAGCAGGGCAGTGACATGGGCTCAGCTCCACACCTCAGCTCCCAGCACACCCCACGTCAGCAGTGCCAAGGAAAGAGGAGCAAAGTGTGAGACACTGCTGCCTGGGGACCTGCTGCAGACACAGATTGGTCACCTCCCTCCCCTCAGCCCATCCAAAGCCACCTCATCAGGCTCACCAAGGAACTCCTTTCACTTTGTGTGCAAACTCAGACTTCATTTCTGCCTTTTTAAACACATAATGGCAGTCATTTCCCTAAGCTTGCTCAGGCTAGGCTGGGGCTGACATGACTTCATTTCTGACAACTATCTTATACTTACAGGATGCTGCTGGGATTAAAGACTTGGGAGGAGGAATTTTGACCTTTGCAAAGCTTTAATTTTGTTGAATTTATCCATGGTAATAATCACTCCTAAGACTCCTTACAGCCATCATCTCCAGTCTCGGGAGATACATCTAGTGAAACCAGCCTCACGAAATAATTTCCCTGGGTATGGCTGAGGCCTCACAAAATACTACTTAAATTCCAGACTTTCACTACATGCCTCAGAGGAATCTTCTGAATGCCAGGATAGGCACCAAGAAGAAAAACAAATGCTTGGCTGTTCATGACTGACTCTATTCTCTTTTTCCTTAAATACACTTGAAAGCAGGCTGCAGGCAGCAGTTGCACCCAACAATCTTCAGGAAAGCTGTTAGGTCCAAGGCTGCCAAAACTCATCTCTTTTCTTTTTTGCTTGTTGTTCTCTAGGTTTTTATCCTGTGCTGGTGCAGGCAGTGCAAAACCAGAGGCTTTTCACCTCTGAGAGCAAAGAGCTGATTTTGAAGAACAAAGCTGTTGTTGTGGGATGCTGCAGCATCTGTTTCAGCACGTCAGTTTTATATTTAGTAGCAGCTCATCTCCAAAGACCGAGCACGGCCAGGGAGCCCCTGAGCAGCCCCATCCCAGCAGCTCCCATGGGTCAGTGCCAGCGGATGGGGCACAGGCTCCTGGAGCCACCCCCGAGCCCTGCACAGCCTGCCTGGAGTTTGCTGCCCAGTCCTGGATCTCAGACAGAGCTCAGGGAGCAGCAGGACGTGCTCTGGCCTTGACCAGTGTGCAGCTCTCCCCCGTCTCTGGGTCAGGCACAGCACAGGGTCAGCCAGGCAGGGGAGCAGCCCTGCCCCATCCCTGCTCTGTGTCCCCAGGCCGTGTTTCTGAGCCACTTCTAGGGAACAGTAAAACACCGCTGCCAGCTCTTCCAGCAGGCAGCTGGAGCTCTGCTTGCACAAGATCCAAACCAACTCCAACTGAGCACAGTCTGCCCGCAAAGCACATGCCAGGCACAGCTGGGAGACGAGGGCAGGGTTTGGAACTCCTTTCTGCCCCTCTCTACAGGTCATCTGCCACTGAAGTGCCAGCAGAAGCACTGCCTGCAGCCTGAGGCAGGAACTCCGTCAGGCAGGACAGGGAAAAGCAAGGCAACATGTAGCAAAGCCCAAGATGCCAGGCCTGGAGTGCAGGAGAGGCATCTGACAGCAAAGCTCCTCTCGACTCTGCACGGGCCCTGGCTCAGAGAAGCAGCATCCTCTCCACACATCTCCATGCCCCATCACTTCTCGGTTTACAGCAGGCCTGGCAGTGCCAGTGCTGTTTTGGGGAGATGTTTAGCACAGACACGAACATCAGCTAATTAGAAGAGTGAAATTTCAGCCCAGTGAGTGCTCAGCACAGAGGGGAAACACTGACAGGTTTTTTTCTTTGCCTCCAGCTACAACTGCAGGCAGGGGAGGGTGACAAGGTGGGGAGGGCAGAAGAGGGGACACAGCTCTGCAGAGGAGTGATCAGTTTTGGCAGCTACCCTGGAAAAAAGGAACCATCAGCACTGCAAAACACGCAGGGAAATCTTCTGCTGGCAAATGCAGATTTCCCTGTCCCAGAGGCAGTGAGGAGTGGAAAAGGTCCAAGGAGAGCTGCAGATAAAGAAGGGACAGTGATGGAATTGAGCCAGCTCTGGAGACTGGCTAGCTCAGCTCTCTCCTGGAAACAGCTTTCTGCTTGGAAAGGGAGTGTTGAATGACAACACAGCCTGGGAGAACTTCATCTGTAGACCCAGCCCAGCAAATGCCAAATGACAGAAGAAAACTGCCTTACCTGGGTAGTTTTCGCCCTTCTGCCTTGCATGCTGCTGCTATGGCTCATCTGGGGGTTGGTGGCCCCTTCGGAAAGGCAGTGGGACTTCCTGCAGGGCAGCGTGTTGTAGTTACTGTAGGAGGAAGGCGCATCCTCGGCGGTCACCGATGCCATCTTATGGCTCCCGAGCTCCGGGATGTCGGACACCAGGTTCCGGCAGTACCCTCCGAAGGCGTTTCGGGGGCCGCCGTTGATGGCGGCGCTGGGGGTTTTGGGGGAATACAGGTCGCTCATGGAGTTGGCCCGCTGGCAGGCGGCCAGGGGCTGGGGGCTGCCACCGGCCTCCGGGCCCTGCATGGCCTCGGCGTCCTTCTCCTCGGCCAGGCCCAGGATCTCCTCGTTGCTGGTCAGGTGCTCCTGGCTGAGGTCGGACAGCGAGAACTCCAGGCTGTCCTCGCGCCAGATGTCGGCCGACTTGGAGCGCTTCTTCTTGAAGCTGGCCGCATCCATGAAGGCGCTGCCGTTGGCTGCGTAGCGCAGCGCCCGCCCGTCGCCCTCGCCCAGGAAGGGTGGCTCGTCCCCGTAGAGCCGGCTCTCCTCCGAGTCGGGCATGCTGTGCACGGAGGCGGCCGTCAGCACCGTGCTGCTGTCCACGCTGGGCGTCACCGACGAGTCCGTGTGGTAGGACACGGGCCGCAGGCCCATGTCCACGCGCTCCACCCACATGGCGCTGCCGAAGTCCTCCAGGTTGGCCTCGGGGGCGAAGGGCTCCAGGCCGTTCTCGGCCAGCGACTGCGGGATGCTGGGCGTGCTGCTGGAGCGCGTGCTCACCTCGGAGTTGCGGTGGATGACCTTGCCCGAGGAGGCGTGGCGCGTGCGGCGCGAGGCCTTGCCGGAGAGGCGCAGCGAGCGCGACGTGTGCTTGCGGCCCAGCCCCGGCTGCTTGTCCCCGTAGAAGGCGTGCTCCACGCTCTGGCTCTCCGCGTTGCCCATGGCGTCACGGTCTGCGGGGGACACAGCGAGCGCCGTTAGGGGAGGCAGGAACGGGGACACCCCGGTACACCCACAGCCGCTCTCCCGCTTAATTAAAGACCGAACCCGGCCCAAAACCCACGCCACACGTTCTCGCGGGGACTGCCGCGACCGCGGCAATGATCCCGCAGAATTAATTACGGGAGCCGGCGGCTGTACCGGTGAACTTAGAAATACGGATAAATCGGAATGCAGCGAGCAGCCAGACAGCTCTGCTGGTGCAAACGAGGAGTGCAGAAGAGGGAAGGACTCAACCCTGGAGCTCGGTGGGAACTGGAACCAGTTTAGCACCACAGTGCCATCTCAGCTCTGCACACATTCACCTGACTCTCAGCATCAGCGTCGTGCTTCCAGCCAACAAACTCTAAAAATCAACAGCTCCTGTTTATCTGCAAGTAACAGATGCTGAAAAGTAGAGGGACGTACACCTTTAGCTGAGATTTCACCTTTTTTTTTGGCTAGGAACTGCGAAGTGAAGCATCAAATAGCAAAGTACAAATCCTCCCATTTGGCAGCGAGCTAATGACAGGTTTGATTTCTGGAACAAAAACCTGTGCAACATTAAGCAGGTACGGAGAGCCCCACACAAGAAAGCCATATTATGAAAAATAAATTAGCATGAGTGACTCAGACTATACAAAAATAACCTTTCCATCCCACTCCCTCTGAAGCAGATAAGCAGATCTGAGCTCTTTGATCTGAGCTGGAACGCAGGGACAGGGTTTGTGTCCCCAGCCCCAGCCTCCTGCATTATTCAGCTGTGCACGTCCCGCCGTGGAACAGGTTTCCCATCCAGGAGGTGGGAGTGATGATCTGATTCAACCTTGGAAAACACTCTGAGGTCTGTGATCTCACTCAACAAATGTCAGAAATATTTTATCAGTAGTATTAGGTCCTTCCTTCTGGCCTGACGGCAAGAAGAGGAATAAGAAAAGTAAATGCCAAAGTTCAAAATTAAACAGGAGATCCTGAATTACACACAAGACAATTACATAGAGAAAAACAGTCCATCAGTCTTGAGTAGAAATTCCAAGACAAAACTTCTTTTTTTTCCAGGTATTTCCATTACTTTTGGTTGAAAATAAAAAAGCTGCCCTGATAGTAAAATAATCTGGAGTTTTTAATTTCTTCGGGTAATTGCCTCTCCTTTGCCAGGATGCCGATGGATACTGAACCAGATGCTGGCAGAATGAATGCACCCAGGTGTTTTCCCTCACTATGTATATTTGCACAACTGCTGCTGCTGCACAGAACTGAATCAGCCCTACATAAACACATGGAAAGTGAGGAACCGATGGCACTAAACAACGGGACAGAACTGAACGCTGCAGTGACGTTTCTGACCACAGCAAGAGGACTGTGCCTCTGCTCCTCCATCCAGCAAAGCTGCTCATGGCTGAGGCTAGAAGTAAGTTCAGTGCTGGAGCAACAGACAACACCATAAACATCTGAGCATTTCTGTACTGAACATAAATACAGTTGCATGTGAAGTAAACTACAGCAGGAAATGCCCTACATCTACCGAAATGAATGGCAGAACTCCCTTTGGCTGACATGACTTGTTTAAAAAACTAAATGCACTGAAGAAAGGGCAGGTTTAAATCTTAAAACACAAAAAGAAAAAGACAGCTTTATCAATCCACACACAAGGGTTTATTACCTCCTAAGAGCTACCGCTCTTTGATAAAGACTGAAAAACAATCAGCCAGCTTTTGCCTATAGAACATTTTAAAGCACAAAAACCACATCTTTTCTTCCGCAGATATCTAAAACCAGACCCCAACATTCTGTCCTGCAGAAGAAACCTTTCAGGGCAGTGCTTTCCCTGCTGTGGTTCTTGCTGACCGCACTTCCACCCAGCAGGATTTCCACCGGCTGCACAGCCCAGCAGAGCCTGAACCTTTTATCCCCAGTCTCCAGCCACCCACCCATCTCCAGCCATCCCTTCTCAACCTAAGGACAAGCTGAGCAGTTAAAAAAGTCCTCTTGAAACCTGGAATGGTTCTTTACCTTCCAACTACACCGGGAAGACTTTCCCCCAGCCAGAGAAGCAACAGGACCGCAAGTGGGCTTGGTGAGGAAAGGAGCAGCATCTCCGGCTGCATCCAGTGAGGAAAACACTCTCCTGGAAGAAGGGAAGTCTTCTCTCCACAGAAGGAATGTTTAGGGAGTGATTTCACACAATGAAGTATCTGCTAGAGACTGGCAAGAAGTGTCAGACTTCAAAGTAAAGAGCTGACCTTTTTTAATTCTGTGGATTGGCGCTTTGGGTGGGGGCGTGGGTGAGGACGTATGTAAATCCACATTCGGCTATCAGTGAGCCCATACCTCGCTCCTGCTCCCTGGAAAGGCCCTGCCTAGTCCCAGGGAATTCCCGGCTGCAAGGCTGCAGGAACGCTGCCCAGTGGGTGCAAGAGGGCTGCAGGCAGCAGCGCAGCTGATCCAGCGCCATCCCCCAAGTCTGGCACCATCCCTGGCAGAGCCCATCTCCCCTGGGAGATGCAGGACACAGCTCAGGTGGAACAGTCGTCCCCACCAGGTCACGCTGAGAGGGGTCCTCTGAAAGGGACCCCCATTCTACCTTCTTCATGAGCATTTCCACCAGTTACTCCGAACCAAATCAAGTGCTCCTGCAGCAGAGTCCACTAAAACAGCAGAAAATAAATCTGCAGGGAGTGGGGAAAGAAAGAACAACAAAAAGAAGAGCTTAGTTAGTTAGAGCTTAGCTATTAGTTCGTCTTTGCTGAGCTAGAGAGCTGGCCAGGCACACACCAGAGGCAGCACAAGAGTGCCTGTCTGGGGACACAGTGGGGACAGGATGGGACAATGCGTCTGGAGGGTGACACAGCAGCAAGGAGGAGGGACGGTGAGTGACACCTCTGGTTTTTGGCAGCAGGGAGCTGCGAGGTGAGCTCAGGCAGATGTGGAAAGGCAGCCCTGAGAAGGGAACTGGCACTGCTATAGACGCCGGCATCCTAAGCGAGCGGGAGCTGGGCCGGGGAGGGGAGCCCCAGCCTCCCCCTCCCACAGGCCACAGCAGACACCCTGGGGCAACAGCGTCTCAAACTGCTCAGCAAGGACTGCCAGATGCTGCCTGTCTGTGGCTTAACTGCATTTAGCACACTCAATGAAAAAAATCTGTATCAAATTAAGAAAATGAGTAACGTTAATGGGAGCTGCACGCAAGTGCTGGTAGGACAAAGGCTCCCCTTGTTAGCTCAAGCCGCCAAATGCAAAGGCCACCATTAAAGACCCATCAAGGTACCACCAGGATATGACACAGATCAAGTGTGACACATCTCCAGGCTTTAGACAGGTCTGTGGTGGTGTTGGGAATCTGCTGTGAATTACCCTGAGCCTCGCAGAGATCAGCACGGACCGCGTGCTGCGAGCGCAACTGGCTGGACGTTTTTCAGCAGAAAATGTTGATTCATCAGAACCCAAACTTTTTGTGGGAATTGAGGGCCTCTGATGAAATCTCTCTCTCTCTGGGAAGGAGAGGCTTGAAAAGCAAAGCAGGGAGACAGGCACGTCTCCTCCAAGAGGCACCAGCGCCCTGAGTCAGGCGCTCACCGGAGACGCGGAAGATCCAGATTTGTATCTCCCAAGCTGGGGAAACGAGGGGTGGCAACTTCTGCCTCCACAACCTCAAAGAGGTGGCCTGACCTTCCATGCTGGGAAAGGGCTCTCTCTCCCAAAAAACCTGCTCCTTCCTGCTTCAGTGCGGGGAAAATGTCAGAATTGTGGTGACTTCCAGAAAGTCACCTTTAAGCCAGCTTGCACATCAAGAGACAGGACAGGGGGTTGAGATATGTTTTTTGAAAGCTCAAACTTCAGATTGACATCAAGATTAGGCTGCTAGCAAAGAGAATGTGAATTTTGCAGGCAAGCTTTGGAAAAACAGTGTTCCCTACACTGGGTATGCTGGAAAAGCAGACTGACCTCCAGCTGAACTGCTGAGGTTTTGCTGGATGACTCTTATATGAAATGTTACACATAAATTATATCACATTCTAGATGACCACTGATGATGGCCCGCTCAGAGAACATAATTTCCTTTAAAAACAGTAATTTTCCTTCCTCTCCCCCTAACCCTGGTATTAAATTATTTCTTAAAATAATTACAAAACCAGAATACTCATTTCAATTAAACCCATGTTACTAACTCTTAAACCTGCAAAAGGTTGGTCCACTGGATTCCAGAAGCGTACCTAAAAAATACTAAATTTCCAACCAAATTTGAAGCACCTCACAAGACAACAGATTGCAAATTTAAAATTAGATTCTAGTGGGAGGCCCTGGTGACAAATCTGTATTTTTCTCCTGGAGCGTAGCTCGAAGGCTGTGAGAACCAGAACAATGATCAAATCCACAGCGGGCAGTGAGCCTACAGAAATAAACTTCTGCTAAAATCTGCCAGCCAACAACAAAGATTTTTACTGATCTCACCAGAACCACATAGAAAAATGTACAAGACTAATAACCAAGTGTGAACACACACATTTTATTGTAATTAAAATGTGCTTTTTCAAAAGGGCAATGGAGAGGCTGAAATTCCACAGAAAGCCTTTGAGTTTCTCAGAAACTCCAGCGGCGTATTTCATTGTTTTCACATCAGAACCTCTTAACCAGCCACTTCTTTTTTGTGAGCCGCTCTCCCATGTGTTAAAGCACGGGATGGACTCCAGAAAGGCCCTGCAGGCAATTCCAGTAAGAGGAGGAGGGAAGGAGGAAGGGATGTCACCAGGAGCTGCTTGACAGCCACTGAAAAGCCCAGCCCGGGTACCCAGCACATGCAGCTCATGCCCTTTCCCTCCCCGAGCATCCCAGAGCAGAGCAAAGCCCTCCAGAACCCCACAGGGACGCACGTGTACCTTCCGAGGCAGTCCCGGTATCCAGCGCAACCTTCCCCCAGAGAGCTGTGGCATTTAGAGGTACAGAATTGCAAATGACCCCGAAAGGAGCAGTTACTGGGACTGCAGAAGCTGTCAGCACCTGCCACTCAGCGGCTCCATTACTCCCGCGTCAGACTCTATGACTACATGCCAAAAACCTGGGGAGAAAGGGGAGAAAAACAAATCAGACAAAGGGTTAGCAGAGAGGGCTGCACAGGAGCATCTTCTGCCGGCACCTGTCACCAGCACTTACCTAAGGAGCACCGGGCAGTACAGCACGGAATGCTGTGCTCAAATTCGGGTGATGAAATCTGATGGTGGCAGAATAAATGAAAAACCCAGTCAAGCACCGCCAGCCCCAACCGCAGGACGTGCAGAGTTCCTCTTCCCACAGCTCCGCAGAACCAAAATCCCCCCAGACTTTAACATTCCCTTGCTGAGGCCGGCCTGTCTCAGCTCAGGGCCAAAACCACACCTGCATCTGAAGACGACCACCAAGAGAGGCCCTGTCCAACAAAGCAGGGCTCGATTTCTGGCAGCAAGGGGAACCCAACCGCCCAGGAGACGCTGGAAAGCCTCAGAGGAGATTTCTCTGCAGACTGCCTCATTTACGGAAAGGGCGGTTTTGCAGGCAGGGATTTCATTACCATTTTCCAAGGGAGAATCAGATGTTGGGGCAGAGCATTTACATCTGGTTTTGTGAGCAAGGAAGGGATTCTCGAGTTAATTGTGCTCAGGAAGGCGCAGACACAAGACAGCAGTCTGTGCTTACCTACACCTGAGACAAGTCCTTAGGACAGCCCTCAAGTCAGACACTGAGCTCACGTGGGTACCAAATCCCAGCCCTTTCCAGGCCTGCTACCACTGGTGAATGCCCAGCCCTACTCCAGCCTGGGAGAGGCTGAATGCACTTCCCAATCCAGCTGCCACCCAACTCCCCCTTCTCCCAGCCAAGCACCAGCACTAAAACATCACCTCAACACTGAACACAAACTTGGGAGAGCTATAAACTTCTCCACAGGTCCCAAGGAACAAAAACCTGGGGAGGGATTACTGCTGCCCTTCACGTTCTTCAAAGCTGCTTGGTGGGGAAAGTGTGATCCTTGCTCTTGGCTGAATTCTCAAAAGAGATGAGAATCACTGGCTCTTTTTAAAACTAAAACTATTCCCATTTTCTTTCTCTTCCTTCATGCTCCCTTCTTTGCTCCTCACCTCCCCCTCTTCCCTCAAGCTGTTGGTTGAGATCTGAAAAGCAGTTCATGAATTGCTCAGGAGCTGGCAGAAATTAATAAAATGAAGCTCATTTATATTGAAATGGACTCATTATCATGCCAGCTGCCAATAATTTCCAAGAGGGGAATCTTGCTGACAAAAAAGGTCCTACAGGCAAGAGGCTCCCCACCTGCACCCACTGGCCAGGGAGCAACCCTGCCATGAGCATTCCTCACCTCCCAGGAAAAGGAACTGGGACCATCTCTGTTCAGATCCGGCTGCTACTGCCCCAAAATAACCTGACCAAAAGAAGAACAAAACACAGCCCAGCATTTTATCAGCTCTTCCACCTTGACATGGCTTTTGAGTAGTTTGTAACTCAGTAAAATCTGCTCCAGGGTGACACAAACTCTGGTCACTCCCCTGAGAAACCAGCTCCAAGGCAGCCCATTGCACACACCACCTGTGCTCCTCCAGCAAAACCCCTTCTCTCCTGGCAGTCCTTTGCTAAAAAGGGGATGTTTGCAGCTGGATCCTGCATTAGCCAAACCCTCACGCTGCTCCAGTACATCTGAAGGGCTGGCAACATCCTTTGCCATGAACAGATGAGTACTGGGCACGCACAGCTCCTCCAGAAGACAAGGATTTATCATTACCCATCAACTCTTTCCTGAAAAGTTTTGCTCCCATTAACTTTTACAACTCCCAGTCTTTTCTAAGTTAAACTGACTCATACTTTTCAAGAAGAACATCCGTTTTTCATACTTTGTCTGACATTAATGTGCACTGGAACGAGCCTCAGCGTCCTGGTTCACTCCAACAGCCCAGGCTCTGCCACAGCACAATTTCTTGAGTTGTGAAGCAGCCTCCAGCAAAGCCCTCCTTCCAGCAAGATGTCAGAAGGTCCTACAGGGCAGAAAGTGATGTCCATGCTCCTCATTCAGGAGGAAGGGCTGAAGCAAACACGAGCACAGCCCCATCACTTCCTTTCCAGCACAGAGCCCTTTTTGGACACGTTTGCTCCCACGGATGCTCCCATGGAGACTGGTAGGGGGGAAGCTGACCAGTCTGTTCTCAGGGGAGATGAACAGCTGTAAACATTGACTCATGGAACAACTGATCTGATTTTTCTTTTTAAAAAAAAAAATCAAGTAAAGATTTTCAAACTTCTGCACTGGAGACGAAACATCCCCCGGCAGCACCGACTGCTCCTGACACACTCAGACACATCCGTGGTGTTTGCAAGCCAACGCCTGCACACGTCAGCGCAGCTCCCCGCGCCCTTTGAAGGCCTGCAAGCAGCACAGCTGTATTTATTGCACAGCCACAGAGCAGTGCCTCCAAAAAGCAGGCCAAGGAGTTCCCACAGGGCTCATCGCGCTGCCGGTCCCGGCCGGGGGAGCGCAGGAAGCCCCCGCGCATGGATTAAACGCAGAGCGAGGAAGCAGAATAGATTAAAGGAGCACCTTGTTATTCACATCTGCTACCTGCAGTCCCAGGTACAGCAAAGAGCTCTGACTTCCACATGCTGGATTTTGCAATGGCAAGAGTCTGGAGAAAAATCCAGCACACCTGTTTTCTTTTTGCTTGCGGACACTTGACAGGAACATTAATGGATGAAAAATACGGAAGCTGTAGTTTTCTAAAAGCCTCCTTTTCAAAGCACAACCCTTCCTTTCCAGTATGAAAAAAAATCAGTATGCAAATATATTCCCTTGTCCAGTGAACAGGAAAAGTTGGCGAGAAGGACGACAGCTCTCTTCAATTCTATTTTTACTTTTTCATTTTATGAGGCATTATTTTTGTCAGATTTCAAATGCAATCAGTTGGTTGTTAAGTAAATCTTCATTCAGTTTGGAGAAGCCCTCGGTAACTCTACCACCAAGCAGGATGCACATACAGAGACAGGAAGCAGTAGGCATTCCATACAGAAACCATCCAATACTCAGCAGCAGCTCTGTGCTGTATTCCCCACCCACCATCCCAGTTCCATTTCAACTCCAGTGATCCCATCTCCTGAAATGGAGGATCAGGCCCTTGGTTTGTGACTGGAGGCCACATTCTGTTAGTTAATAGCTAGTTAACTAACATGAATTGCTGCTGAAATCCATCCAGCCAGTGCCCTGCCCTGAGAGCGAGGTAAATGCTGCAGGGCTCTGCTGCCCTGACAGCTCTGGTTCTCCCCATCCCATATCCCTGGGCTGCCCTCCTCAAAATAAAACCAACAGGAGAGGCAGAGTAAAATATGCAGAGCTGGAAGGGCCCCACAGGGATCAGAGTCCAGCTCCTGGCCCTGCACAGACACCCCAACAAGCCTCCAGACCCTTCACCATCCTTGTGTCCCTCCTCTGGATGCTCCTCAATAGCTTTAGATCCATCTTAAAACTGTGGTGCCCAAAGCTGCCCCCACGTCTCGAGGTGAGGCTGCACCAGCGATGATGGATGGATGGATGATGGATGGATGGATGGATGGATGGATGGATGGATGGATGGATGAGGGAGGGATGAGGGATTGAGGGATGGATGGATGGATGGATGGATGGATGGATGGATGGATGGATGGATGGATGAGAGAACTGCTCTGTGCCCAGGTCTTTGTTCAGAAATGCACTCCAGAAATGCTTTGAGCTTCCCCACTCTCTATCCAAGCACTGAGCCCTGAGATCAACTTTAGAGGACTGCAGAAACCAGTTGACTTTTAAAACAGTGAAAATAAATTACAAACGTGCTCCTCTCTGTGTTTTCTTTCGATGGCATTTAAAATGTCATAGAAGCCTTTTGTTTGTGAGAAAAATTAATTCCAAACTGAGCACTGCTTGTGAGAGAAATTAATTTCAAACCAACCACAGCTTATACTACCTGTTGAGGAGAATGGCTGCTCCTGAAACTGGGGTCTGACAACAGTGACCATCCAGAAAGGTCAGGGATCCATCCATCCATGCCCAGGAATGGGCTGGTAGAGCTTCAATTGCAAAACCTCTTTGCAAGCGCCTTGTTAACACGCAACCTCCGTGTCTGTCACGGCTGGGAGAACAATGCTGGTGATCCTCCAGATGAAGAGGAGGGCAAAGAAAAATAAACCCACATTCCCTTTGAGAAGAACTCCTAAAGGGGAAGGTGTGGGAAGCCCTGCTCCTCCAGCTGCAGCAGCACCACCCCTATGACAATTTCCAAGGGAGGGGAGAAAAGGCAAAAAGAGAGGGAGGGAGGAAGGTTTGTCAAGAGACCTTAAACCTCCACAGAGCCAACAGCCAGCCATGCCCAAATTCCAGCTAAAGGGAACAAAACCAGGAGCACAGCACTGAGAAAGCACCGTGGGGCCTTGGCAATAAATCAATGGAAGAGCAGAGCAGGTAGCCCAAGGCAAAGCCCCCTCTCCAGGGTTTCTCTATTTATAGAGGGGATGTGAATAATTGACACAGTTGTGGGTTTGTTTGTTTTTCAATCATTTTTACAACTATCTGAGCATGTTTTAACTCTTTCTCCTTCCCTTCCCTTTTATTTTTAATGGTGGGAAAATCCCCTTTTCTACCCTGGGGGGAATCTGCAAGGTTTTACACGTTTCCAGCAAAGGGCAGAGCAGGGGAAGGATTCTAATTTCAGATCATCAGACATAAGCAAATCTATGGGAAGCCACCAGGGCAACTCTCTGGAGCCTGTGGGGCAGACTAAGCCCAGCCAGGAGGGAACTGCAGGGAAGGAGGAGCCCACTTGGCCTCCATGTACATTTACATGATACTTGAAAAACTAAAAGAATTCCCAAAATGCAGCTGGAATAAAAAATAAGGTGTGGCTTGTTTGTTTACCTTTAGGTTCTATGTTATTGTTATTACACTTTGCTTAAAAAGGGCTTTCTGCTGGTGCCAAATGGGCAGAGAACTGCTGATACACAGCGAGGGTGGGACGTGCCAAATGCACTAAAAAGATTGAGAAGTAACAAGAAAAT